TACCTATTCTGTGTATCTTGGCAGCAATGATTCCCAGTACACAGAAGCTATGGCTCTCTTATTGGGTCTCAAAAAGTTCAACCCATCTTGGGGCACACACCTAATTGTGGAAGGAGATCATAAGACACTCATTCATGGGCAAGTGGGGTGACCTCTCCCCCATGGCAACTAACTACAAGTTTTGATGAAATTACTCACATTTGCAGGGATATGAACGGCTCCTGGAAGCATACATGGAGGACGTCCAATGAGCTCGCAGATCTCATGGCAAAGGAGAGAGCTAGATTCCAAGTGGAAGAACAAGCCAGGTCCTACTCCTTTTTTGTTCAGAACCACAGCCGCACTATGTAGCATCCCTCGACGCAGGCACTCCTCAGCCTTAATCTTATTTTTTGAAAAACCACTGTAAATCATTGTATCTGGCGGGACTTATAAGATATTTTTGTACATGCACTGACTGATGTATTTTTTACCGAAAGCCACCCTTGGTAGGTGCTCTCGGTCTCTCCCACTTCTGTAATTATACTGTCTTAGTAATACAATGTTAACAGTTCTCAAAAAAAATTATCTGCCAATGAATGTTCCAGTTATACCAGAAAAAAAAGAACTCAATATGATGCTCCCTACAAAACCTCAATCTTCTCTAAACACAAAATGTGTATTAAGTCTTTATTACAAGTAATCATAGAATGACTAAATTCCCCTAAACAAAAGAGAAAAAAACCATAGAGGTGATTTTAGTAGCACAAGCTAACATGATAATCATTGATCCCAGTCATTTTCACATTTATACAAACTGCTGTAAACATAAACATTTGTTGAGGAACAGAACCCTTTTACACCCCAAAATATGGGCATTGGCATGTGCTTCAAGTTGTTGTTTTCCACCCTAGTCACCATAGCTACACTCTCTTTCGGATTTCCTTCCAGGTCCATAAACACATCAAAACATCACATCAGAAGTGACAGGTTCCCAATTTGGGCTAAACATGATTTGCAACAAATATGTGTGTCATTCACACGTTGGAGGCAAGAGAGAATTGGACTATAGTGTGCATAAGTCCAATTTAAAAACTTGAATTAAACATGGACCGCAAAGGTACTGCATACATTTCACCCCTACACTGCTACACCCACAGGCAAATCATGTATGGCTTCACTTCTCAATACCTAGAATATACACATTATAAGGCACTCATTGAACCATTAATCCAAAATCCTCTCACAAAGCCACCTTGAAGAGGGGATATTACATGATGCAAGATTCCACAAGGTCTAAAAGTGAATACCCATACCAAGATCTTATACATGCTTATAAAACTGCCAACATACAAATGGGGTATAGGTCTTTCTCAGAACCATTTATTCTGGGAATGGAGAGGGGAGTAGAGTTATAAAGTTTATTAGTTGTGCCGCTATCCTGGCACTTGACAGACTTATTTATAATGACACTTTGAGAACTTATTGTGTCTAGGAGCTTGCCATAATCTAGTGAGAAAATCAACACAAGAAACTCTTTTTCCTCTTATATAAGTGAGTATATGAGGAGAATTTTTTTATACTTGACAAATATGAAATATTATATTTGCACCACGAATTTCAGGCCGTGCTATTTGCACATGGTATATATACATCCTTTGTGCACTCTAGTTGTATCCATGTAATATTACTCCCCAATTTAATTAGTGGGACTAGATTCATAACTTCTCTAATCTTAACACGATATCAGAGAACATGCAATGATTGTTATGAGCCTGATCAAGTAGCCCTTCCAAAAGGACTTATATACATTTGAAGACGGATTAAGGAGTAACTCCCCCATGTGATGCAAAAAATGCCAACTACCCGAGGGAAAAGCAATAATTGCCTCTAGGACAAAATATATCTCCAGATTCCTGGCAAAGAGTCATTCATACACCAAATGAAAATCACGATTCATAGTAGATGTGTCAGCACCATGATCCTATCCGTCACACTAAAGATGAACCTTCTCAACCAAGATCTCATCCCTTGTATCAAAGATGAAGCATTTATTGCAAATAAATAAACATGACATTGTGAATGCCTAAAATGTTTTTTTTGCAGTTCCAAAGGTTTGTCTCTATATACTGATTAAAGAAAAAAGCTTGTCCATTTATGTTACAGGTCGCCATCCAAAACTGACTTGTGATTGCTTCTCTCGCTTGAAAAGGCCCCATTGCCATGAAAGGCAAAATCCAAGTCCTCTACCTCAATAAATTGATCATAACATGCGACTTTAGAAGCGACAGGACTGTATGGGTGAACCTTCATTAGGTTATCAACCCTGATTACATGATCAAACTCTACAGTCTGGTACCATGGTACAGACAGAGAAACTGTGAATGTACTTCCATATATTAGAAAGAGTGGCTAATGCATGTATATAATTAATTTAGGTGCATAAAAGTCACAAATACCTCATACAAGTAAAATGACAGAAATTCCCATGTGCAAATAGAATCCATAAATTCTCTTAAAAACACACGACGATTAGTACACAAAACACCTTGATACAGACAAAAGTACAAATTATCCCAACACCTAACTAATTGGCCCAGTCCACAAGTAGCTGATCTTGATCATAAGGCATGGGCAGCAACACAAGTTCATGCAAGGAGTTAGTTGGAGAACACTTGCAGCAAAACAGGCTATGACACCGCAGCCCCTTTTCCCATATAGGATTTATTCACTTGAATCATAGAGATTAGGTCGCCTCTTCACACGCTTCAATTTTATGGAAGAAGCTTGCTTTTGGTCGCCCTCCTTGAGCCACCTAGTTCTAGATCATCGAACCAAAAGGTTCCTCTTGCTTAAGAAATCTACTTGATATGTTATCTTCGACTCTATTCTCCAAGTAGTTTCTCATCGCTCCTTATAATACAATTGTTCCCAAACAGTTGAGCTTACATTCTTCATAGCAAAACAGGCTATGAAGACTCTTGAGTTGAGCTTACATAATTTTAGCCACATGTTCCCAAACTCCAAGGATCGGGGTCCTCGCACCATGGCATTGAGCATGGGAATATAGGGGTGTAGTCTAAAAGATCAATTTTAAAGCGCATCGTAGTGAAAGGAATGGAACCAAGTATCCCATTCCAGTGACACTATGAAACAATCCAATTTAGCCAGAACTTGGATTGACCTATCGTTGAACAAGGGGTACATCACACCATTAAGAGAAATGTCCACTAGATCACGGAAATCAAGGAAGTTTGGAAACTCCCTGTGCTGGGTGTGATCCCTCTCCCTCCACAAAATTCCCTACTTGTCTGGTAGTTAGGGCCAATGTTTCAAGTAAAAAGCCTGGACATGGATACCAATAAGTACTTGCAAGCTTAATAGAAATTAATAACTACACAACTTCAGATCCTCCCTTAGCAACATCAATTTGCTACAAATGCCAAAATATAACCAGCATCACCACTAGCTGGCAGGTGGCAGGTAACCCATTTTGATATTCCTTTGTGCACAAAGGCCCAAACATTATTCGGAGCGGCATGATCCTTGCTAGTATGACAACATATGTCACATTGACAATGCTTCATGAAAAAGGCAATGCACGCTGTGGTAACTTAAATGGGGTCACAATGTGACATGAATAAGAAACCAAAATTACTTGACTAGGCAGTCCGAGCATTTGACTCTCAAGATATGCTCTAACCATCACATGAACAAGCAAGCCCCATAATCAGAGGCAGTATTTCCCAAAAATTTAAGGGAAAATATCTCCATAACCCCCATTTTTAAGTTTTATATCTCAATAGACCCAAGGTTTCAAAACACATCTTGGGTCATAAAAATTCTAAGTTTTGTATCTTCTAACCCCTTGAGCTAACTTTATCCCTTTTAAACTTATTTTTTTGCCCCAAATAAATATAATAAAGACATATCCTTTCTAGACACCAGCATTTCTCTCTCTTCACGTGATTTTTCCCTAAATCTCTCTCCATGAATTTTCTCAAACCCTCTCTCTCCCTATTTTCCCACTCTCTCTCCATGGTTTATTTTTTCTTATATATTTGCTTGATTTCTGTGGATTTTTTCTATTGATTGGTTGGATATTATTCACATGGATGATTAATTATATGTAGATTGTATCTGTTTTTGGAACCCAAACTGAGAGATAGGGGTTTCGGGAAACACGAGTAGAGAGAGAACAAGAGAACTAGAGCGAGAAAGTGGGGGAAAATACAAAAAGAGAAGGGATTTGGGAGAATCTCAAGGAAGAGAGAGAATGAGAGAAATTTGGGGGGAATATATAATGTAAAGAGAAGAAGAGTTTAGTATGAGCGTATCTTTTTTCTATTTGTTAGGGCTAAAAAAATAATTAAAAGTGGGTAAAGTCAATCAGGGGATTGGAGACATATTTTGAATCTTTGGGTCTATTCAGATATAAAAACAAAAAAATAGGAGCCACGCGGATATTTTGCCATAATTTAGTATTAACTTTTAGGCTATTTTCCTAGAATCTCTTCATCCATATGAGAATCATGCTAATAGCCATCTCGAGCCTGCAATTCATGCCCGCTGCTTTCCACTATCCCCCCAAAACATTTTTACTTAAGTTTTTCTCACCATTGAAATATGAACAAAATTATGCACAACCACCTCCCATTACAAGTACATAATAACACAATGTTTATGTGAAAAAACTACATTGTTGCATGCTTGTGGTGTCCCACTGCAAAGGTCCTAAACCACATTTCAGCTTGTAATCAGAGAATTCAGATTAGATGTATAGTACCAGATTTCAAATCCATACAATTACACAACCTTAACTACAATTGGAATACTCAAAGTCAGATTGCGAGAAAGTAGAACCGCTTAAAAATATATATAGGATAAATGTAATAAAGCAAACAGATCTCATTACCAATAATGAAAATATAATTCCCCACGAAATCACAACCAATTCATAACTAAGAGGAGAGAGAAAGAGCAAAAAGAAGCAGAAAAGGAGAGAGGGAGGGAGAGCTGACCGTCGTCTTCCTGCGTCAAGGTGACGACCCCTTCAACCTGAGAGTTTCCCTTGAGAACAGCGACTGCTTTCTTGGTGGCCGCAACAATGGTGAGACGCCTGCTAATAGCGGCGGGGGAGAGGGTAAAGGACTGGTTCGACACCTTGAGAGATGCACCTCTGAAATAAGAGTGCAGAGTGACCGGAGAGGAGAGAGAAACGAGGGCAGGAGAATGCCAAGTAGAGGCGGCGAAAACTGTGTGAGCGGCCATTGCAGCCAGGAGTGCCTGCATTTGTACGTACCCAAAGATAAGGCAAGCGCTTTACAGGGCTCACTCTTTAACAATTTTCACTGTCTCTAGTGTGAGGGTATGTTTTGTAGGACAGAATCCCGATCACATCATGCGGACGGTTGCTTGTAGGTTCCCAAGCATTGAGGTCTCATATCCAACGATTGAAAATTAATCTTGTATTTTATACTTATTTTTATTTAAATAGGATACTTTTCTGAATATCAGAGTGTATGTATATTTCTCTAAATATATTTAAAAACAAATTATTATACAAAAAAAACTAAAAATAAAATACTTTGAGACGTCAAATCTCAGATCAAAACAGTGAGTGACTCTCTTGATCAAAATTGGACTGCTGGATGGTAAAAAAAGGATAGAACTTCTATATTGTAGGAGAAGCAGTCTTTCTTTTCTCTAAATACAATTAAAAACAAATTATTAAAAAATATTTTAAATAAAAAATTAAAATATTTTTAAATTTATTTTGATCAATAATTTTTTAAAAAATGATCCTATAGAATCTTCTTCTATCCATATGTGTAAGGCTTCAAATGATCACCATTAAATTTGACACGAATCTCTAAAAAAATCAAGTTCTACACTATGTAATAATATTTTTAAAGATCCGTACCAAATTTAATAATGATCATCTAAAGTCCAACATATATGGGTAAAAGAGGGTCCTATAAAATTATTACTCTATTTTTTTATTCAAAATATATCTTGTATTAATTTTAGTTGATCTTACTTATAAAGATGAACCTAAAATCAAAATATCATATTGCAATCATTTTTAAATAAAAATAAAAAATAGAAAACGACATTCATTATTTGTCATTGGATGAGTATAGTTCAATCAATCTAAACCATCCGTCCATATCCTGTGGACGCAATACCAACCCTAATATGTATTTAAAGCATGTACTTTGCTCCCACAGGAGTATAGTGTATTCCTACTCCCTCAACTAAAACCCTGTTGGGGAGTTTTTTTTAAATAAAATTTTGAATAAATAAATTATTTTAATTTTTTTTTTCAAATTAGTGTTTTCTAGCTCTTTGATCCCATCTTTTAAACATTAGACGGTCTCTATTCAATCTTGAGTATTATTTTTTTCAAATGTATAGAGAGTAAAATTATTAAAAAATTATTCAAATTAATCTATAGGTTGAAAAGGTTATACTCCCAAAATCTACAATCTAAAACCAATATGAAATAAGATTTTACCTGTGAAATTAAATAGACAATATACTCTAACGGGAGTATAATATCTTTTGAGTTTTCTATTTGCATAAAGTTCTAGGTCCTCCATGGCCAAGAGAAGCCCATGAAGACAAAGGACATGGAAGTCTCTAGTGAATGTGAAATTGCTCTTCTATAGTTTTATGAAGGACCTTGTATTTATTTTTATTTTATTTTATTTTTTTCTCTCGGGCAAATGGGATGCGTATATGTACATGCACTCTTGCTTGTGGGGCTTCTCCATAAAAATATGTTATAATTTGTGTTATTACGGATATATCAAATAGTTTCCGTTATTACATGTATGTTTCATTTTTTACTTTTTTATAACGCATTTTTAAAAATAAATACCACTTTACTCCTTTTCAGATGTTCAACATCCGAAAATAGGCCGATGTTAAATTTCCTATTTTTGGATATTAAACATCCAAAATTTTCAACATCCGAAAATACCCCGATAGTTGAACGTTGAGTATAATATTTTTGGATGTTGAACATCTGAATTTAAAAGATTTTCGGATATTTAACATCCGAAAATACCCTGATAGTTAAATAAACCTTCGTCTTCTCTGTTTTTGGATGTTGAACATCCGAAAATCTCTTAAATTCTGATGTTCAACATCCAAAAATAGTATACTAAACGTTAAACTATCGGGGTATTTTCGAGTGTTGAACATCCGAAAATTTCTTAATTTCGGATGCTCAACATCCGAAAATTTGGAAATTTAACGTTTAACTTTAGGCCTATTTTCGGATGATGAATATCCGAAAATCCCACCAATTCGGATGTTCAATATCCGAAAAAAGCTAAAGTGGTTTTTTTTTAAAAATTGCGTTATAAAAAGTCAAAAATTGACATATATGTAGTGACAGAAACTATTTGATATATCGATAATAATACAAAATATAACGGATTTTAATGCAATTTTATTTTTTTAAATGACAAATGGGATGTGTACATTTACATGCATTATGTCTGCTTGTGGGACTTCTCTATGTATTTGATTTTTTTCTTTTTTTTTAAAACGTTAACTGATGGGTCAAATATTTGATTATTTGAAGATTAGAAGATAATATTATAAGTGAATTTAGGCATGGCGATGCCATTTGCTTTGGCTCTTGACATTTTGGTGATTATATTATTTAAAACTTTGATCATTGAAGGTTGGAAGATAATATATTGGTTGGCTTTGAGGCATGGACACGCATCGTCTATGGCTCTTGACATCTCGAT